AAGTAGTTGTAAAATTAATTAAGGGTACAGGTGGGTTCCAGAAAAGAAACTTACAACTAAAAGCGTCAATAATTGTCTATAAAAGAGGGAATAACAGCAATTGTTTAAAAAATGGGCCATTTGCAGTGCGTTTCTTGCTCACTGAGAGGCTACAAAAGAAGCCATATTGCTTGTTTACGGTAGCCTAGCAACAAAGGAACTTCGACAATTTGGCGTCGCCCATCGATTAACCTAAAAGCATGGAAGCCGGTGGCTGCTACGCGGCGCATCCTAGAATAACACACGTGTTTACAGAAGAACTAGTAAATTTAGGTTCATTCTGGCTGTTCGTTTTTCCAATAGGTACTTCTAGACTGGATTGTTGTAAATATGTTCTTAAACTATAGTGTGTAGGATATAAAATTTAAATAGGATATAATATATTTTACTGCAGAACAACATTGGATGCGTAACATGCAGGTATAATATTTCTTATTACATAAGACCAGGATACATACTTAATGATAATATTTTTGCAGCGCAAACGTTGTTCAAAATAAGGCTTTACAGAATCTCAGCCTAATGTTGTTCTTAATTAACTTGCTATAAATTTTTCAACTAAACGGCTCTAGCTCTTAGGATATTACCTCATAGGTAAAAGAGTCTATAACAAAAAGGTTTCTTCTTTATTCGACACTAAGTGCCTTTGAGGGTATAACAAAATATGGACTTGTGAGCGCAAATATCATAGAAAATCTTTCCTTTAATGCTTGAAATTGATAGATGCTAAACTTTCTTGTGGATGTTATATGTTATGTACTAAGTTTCATATTGATGTCGGAAAACTATCATTTGATTTGCAATAAAAGAAAGTATTTGTGATGATTGCAAGAAAGTAAACGATTTATCTTCTCATCTGAAACATGCAAGAATGAACTGGTTGGTAACGAGCCCATACTGAGAGAGCTTCATACTGCTCGAGAGCCCCAGTATTGAGTTTCTTATAGAAGTAGTAATTTATACATAAAACATAAAATATGCGCAAAAATGGTTGCTAGAAAGCAATTTGAATTTTTTGTGTGTGCAGATTGAAGAGAATTTAGAATTTGATGCTCGTGTCTTTGAAATCTGAATCTGAAAGCAACCAAAATAGCTTTATTCTTTAAAAAGGTTAGCGATTGATATGAGTGAACGACAAAGATTATTGAAGATTATTTTATACGATATTATTTTTATTATTACCTATTAACATACATAGATGCTATGTGGCAAAGGAAAGCATGACGACTAACCTTACATGGAATGGTCGTCTTCGTACTTCATTGCTAATTTGGAAGAAACAACTTTGCATACCCAATCAGAATGTTGGAGTTTTCTTTATAAAACTCTTAAATTTTCATGAAAGACAATTTGTGCATAAAGCAACAGGTCACAACTGTCGGCCTCAAAATCTTTCTAGACAAGTAAGAGCAGGCGATAATGGCATCATATCATTAAGTTTCTAAAAGCTTTAAATCTGGACATCACTTCTAGAATCAATAAAGACAGTCAAAAATACTAAGCAGTTGAAAGATTTGCTTAAAACTGAGTTTCTTGATAGTACAATTTCTCTTTATGCAATCTGTCTTATATAATCCTTGAAATTGTTTTATGGTAAATTAGTCTAAACTGAATTGGTAAACATTAATTATTGATAAAGATTGATGGTTGATACGATAATTGATGCGATACAGAAAGCTTACTGACTAACAAAAATTGAACAAAAAGTACATAAAATAACATTCAAAATTGAAGACAAAATCGTATCTTAGTAACTACATCATGCTTATAGCTTAAGGCCAGATAGCGAGAGATTGTAGACACCCATTAAATGTAACGAGAAAATTAAGCTTGTTAAACTTTTTCATTCAGGGGCAGGATTTTCAGGAGGCTCTTTATGAATGCTTTTGAATTACTACGCAAAAATCATACGAATAAAGGTATTTTGACGAAAAGAAGCAGTTTTTTATTGTGTTGCCGCCTAATCTATCATAGAGTATCATGCTCCAGGAAACTAAGCAGGAGCACTCTCATTCCCCATTGCGTTGCGTGACTACTCATAGCAGTTTCTTTATATCCGAATTATTTACAATGTTGGATTGACATAACCATGGCCAAGATGTTTGATATAACCAAACATGATTAATACTCTTATTGTTTTGCCAGTACACTTTTAAAAGTGCAATTTTTTATAGAACACGAGCATAAAAAAGATTCATAAGAACACGAACATCAAGACACGAGCATCAAAGCTATTAACAAATCAAGAACAAGCTAAGGCTGAGGTACTGGAAATAAATTTTGAACGTAGTCTTGAAACAGCCTTGCAAATTTTTTCCTAGAAATTTCTTCTCAAAACAAGGAGTTTTTTGCTATGTAGGGTAAAATTCTCTAATTGAAAGCGATACAGTTCACACTAGTTATGTTTTGTATTCAATGTTTAAAGAGAATGCATGAAAACTAAAGCCCACTCTGGCCCAGGGGGTTCTTTAGCTCCCCCAATAATTTCCAAAATGTAATTAAAATCATACAAAAATCACCCTTGTTTTGGTTTTAAGCATGTTTAGTCCCTCAAACGTTTTAGCCCCCTCAATCTGTAATATTCTCTGCGGTCCTTGCTCTGGCCTGCTTGGAAAATTGTGGTTAGATCCAACCCTGCGTTTCGCTCCCTATGGTGGACCACAGTGAAATCAGAGCAGGATACTCATACGGAACCCCTGTTTCATTCCAACGATCTACGTAAAAAGTTGAGGCCGGTGTTGTGAAATAGCCTGAGACTGACGGCGGTTGCAAGACTCACATTCTTCAAATATGGTAAACGAGTATATACAGTCAAGTAGTCTGACCCAATCAAAACATCAACAAACATAATATCAAAAAGGCCTAAAGTTGTATATGATTAAAAGTTTATTTTTGTCAGCTAACGTCGCTTATCACTGCACCTGCAAAGCGCCATCGCAGCTTCGGCAACATAATAACTAGTGTTGTCATTTCTTAATAAAAAACAATATAGGCCACCTGCAAGCTTGTACCTGTCGCAAATGTTTGCTTTGACGAAGCAAAGCACCCTGTGATCACAAGACTTTGTTCAGGAAACCAGAGCCGGAATCCCCGCTACAATATAGCTTCGTGATAATGTCTATTAATAGAGCAATGTCGCTATTGGTCTACCTGTGGTTGAAATGGCGGCAAAGAAAAGAAAGCAGTATAAAAAATCTCGCGCAAAGACTAAAAAAATTGTAAACAGTTCATTGTACATGTGACAATGATAAACATTGTTGATGAAAATTGTCTTAAAGTCGACAAAGCGATTGCACAGTGGTGGGGGATACGGCTTGTTAGGTCTTAATTTTTTTCACGGTCTTGGGGTTTGATAAAAGGCGACAGTAACCAAATATTAGAGCTATGAGGTCAAAATTTAAAAGCTAAAGACAGTTTTTTGAAAAAAAATGAAATTATGCTAAAGCGAAGATAATTGTGGACATTCTGTGTGGGCTTCGCATCCTCGGTTGATTCATGACAGTTGCGGACGCCTCTCCTTGCATAACTACAACAACACACGCTTTAGGAGAAGTTCAGGGTGAATAAAAGAACCTTCCACGCAGTACTTTCAAAGATGAGGCACAAACTTGAAGAGAAACTTAAACGGAGCTACCCTTCTGAGTTTTGTCTAGCGATACGTTTGTATCGACTTGGAATGGGGCATTTCATTTTTACTTTATAGCATCGCTGCCTCTTCATTTTCTTCTGCAATTGCACAGATGTTGCAAACAGAATTACAACATAAAAGATACAGGAATATTTTGTAACACCTGAACGCGCATTGCAGCTCTCTTCAATTATGGATGGCGGGAAGTAGCGGAAACATTGTATACTACAATAAGCCAGGGGCGTCGCGACCGGGGAGGTGTGGGGGGTGTCACGACCCCCCAATAGTATCTCAATAGGAAATTTCAGGTAAAATCCGCTCGGTGGAAGAAACGATTTAGGTATCTTAGAGACCTTCATGTCTTCATGTAGTTGCTTCGTTGGTTAAATATGATATTCCTTGATATGAAAGAAGGTAAACAAACTAATGGTTTGAATATTTGAAGATTTCTTGTTGGCACTAAATCGAAAAATCCAGGTTCTCTTTAGGTAAAATAGTGTCTTGTGTCCATTTCCCCTAAATTTTCTCGGTAGAAGCGTCAACTGCAATTCACTATGAGCTCCAGATTTTTTTTAACATTGAAAAGGCATGCTAAGATGGAAAGAGGGATCTAAATTGACAACCAGTGCTGCTTGTTACCTTGCTTCAAAAGTAACTGACAACATGGTATTTCTCAAGACCACGGCGAAATTGTACGAGTTGTTTTTATCTGCTGTTCAATTTGTTAGCAAAAATAAAAGAATTTTCGGTAGGATTAGGAGGATTGCTTTAGTGAAATGTGCTTAAAAGAGTGCATTTTCCAGGGAACTAGAAGCATCAAAATTCGAAAATTTTCTGCTATATCCTTTGCCCGTTCCGATATAGAGATTTGACAAAACTATTAGGAAAATTCCGTTATTATCAAATTAAAATGGAAGTTGCGAATTATATACAGAGTTAAATTGACAAAATGCATTTCAGAGGTTTGTGACAGCAACTAAAGAATTTCAGGCAAAATTTTTTAATCAGGTAAATTTGTAGTCCACACATTCCCAACCCCCCCCCCCCCCCCCCCCCCCCAAAAAGGCTTTCCTCGCGACGGCCCTGAAGTAAGCTGTCTCTGCTGTTTCTTGCCATCTTCAAATCTTTCGGTACCATCTCTTCACCTCCATTCCATTTTGTTGCCAATTTTATTTTGTGAAACTTCGCGGCATTGATGTCCCTTTGATGGTCTTTTTGCATTTTACCCGACTCCTAAAAACGGCGTTTGATTTGACGACGCATCGATGTCGCATGCATGCTTTTATCAAATGAACAACGCTTATAAGAAACATCAGGCTGAAATTTGCCCCAATTATAAGAACAAGATAAGATACAGAACAGGCTAAAATTCAACAAGACTCAAGGAAAAAGCACGAGCAAAAATTACTGTCTTCTATAGTGAAACTCTAACAGGGTGACAGGCAAGAATTGGAAGTCATCAATGTGCTCTCAAAAGAGTGACAATTGAGAACTGAGTAGCAATTAGTCTTCTCCAGGGTTCTGGTTTAGATCAATGACCTAAGAATTAACTATTTTATGAAGCACATGTTATGTCCGGACACTGCAATGCATATTATATTCCATTAAAAAATAAGACACCCATTAGGCTGAATTTATGCTGAAAAATAAGAAAAGCCAGGCTGAAACTGGAGCCAAGTGTTCTTATAGAAAAAACGTGTAATGCGAAATATACTCCAGCCCCCAGCCTGCTGCACATAAAAGTTTTGTTTATAAAATGACAGTTTGGCGGAATCCTGATTGGCTTTGAAATGAATATTCAATTCTGTCAACGTAGTTATATGATTGGCCATAGATGAGTATTTGAGAAATCAAGAAAGACTGGCAAGACAGAGATTGACCTATATTTTGACTGATCGTCAGATTGGCCTTGTATGAAAATTGGTACAACGCTAGGTTAAAAGAAATTTATGGTGCATTTGTGTCCCCAATCTCGATAAACTAATTTTTCCTGAACATATTGAATGCAGTTACCTTACGTTTAAATATTCAGAGTAAATTATCTTTTGCAAACAGCAGAGTAACCGGACCAGATGCAAGATCGTTTAAGGCTACCAAAAACACAATTTTAATATGGAATTTAATTTTAAGATATCAATTAATCATTAATTATAAGATATTTTTTATTAATCATTACATTTGGATTAATTCAAGGATACAATTTTAATTAAGGATTAATTTTGTAGCTAAATACATTTATGCTAAATACCTTGATTAAGGATTAATTTTGTAGCTAAATACTAGATCGTTTCATCTTTTTGATATTTCGAGATTCGTTTAATGTTAAGACCTTTCATATGCTGTCTTTAAAAGTCATTTCTTTCAAACAACTTGAATTGTCCAATGTGCTAGTGGCTTTGATTCTGAGACTGAGTACTGAGTATTAGTATTCAATAGGCAGCACACTTAAAAAAGACTTTCAAGACTACTCAGGTCCGCATACATGCTATTTAGATGCCTTGTTTGGTATTCTGGCGCTGGTATCCAGTTATTGGCAACCCATTTGTGGCCTTTTCTGATGTTGCACCCTCCATGGAGCGAGAAGTCGTCTCGCTCTCCAAGCCAGCCATGTTCATCAAGATTGTGATTGTACCATAAAACAGCCTTACCTTTCTTTGGTGCCACAACAGTTGTTGAATTATAGCAGAACTCGCTAAGGTTGTAATAATCTCCCTCTCTTCGTTGAACAAATTCCTAAAAAAAGAGAAAGTATTTTAGTACACAATAGTCTTCTATAAAGCAGCAGTCTCGTTAAGTGCAAGATTAAAAATCTAAAGATAAAGGGAAAGTGCCTCAGAGATTTTAAAAGAGTATGAAAAAAGTTCTATAGGGTCACAGAGGAGGACTCATTCAGTAGATTGAGACTAAAATAAACCAAGAAATTTCTGAGAACACATGATTGCGAATGCTATCCCAACACATATCATATCCTGTGGTAAGGTTCAGAGCAAAATTACACTTTTTTCAAATATATCGGTTTGCAGGGCCGTTGCTAAACACTTTCACTTAGGAGGGTGCCAGTCACCAATTCGTCGACAAAATAGGGCGTAGCCTTAAATATATCAATTTTTGGGTATGGCATTCTGGCACAGTTGGTTTCATTTATCAAAGAGTGTGTTCTCATCAGTCAATCGTCGCTTCGTTTTTTGCGTAGTAATTGTCTTTGCCTGAGTACAAGAGAGTACCTTTTTCGATTTTACTCTAGAAGTCAAGTTTTCAACAATGAGATTATACCCTCATTTTATCAGATAATTCAGCACGTTTAAATAGAACCTTAATTTGTTTGGGCAGATCTCACAGGCAAGGCCGCTTGGATATGTTTTGCATCCAAGCTCTTTTGACCAAGCCTATTTTATCTTAAAACGCATTTCAGAATTTTTCTTGTAGTCATTTCTTGCAAGCGTTTAGAACGTTCTGCTACTTTTAGGCATACTGTTGCCAAGTTTCATCATTTCCAATCTGAAAATGGAATTCATTGCTTTATGAAGCCTCCTAGCCTTGGGGGCCCAAGAGCACTTTGTCTCCCTTTCCCTCATTTCAGATGCCCTGCTCACAGGGGATGCCAATACCTCCAGGATCAGGGTTCAGAGTTCTTCAACAGTTTTTGACCCTTCCAAAACCTTGGGGTGCAAGTTGGGTGGCGCTGGATATGCCAATGGTTGGCTGCTAGGTTCTAGACCCCAGCTGCCGACAGGGAGCCATTTGAAATGTTTGGGGGTCATTTACCCCTTCATGTCATCAATAGCGCATCACCCTCTGCACCAACCGCTAGCGACTGTCCTGTCACTGGGAATTGAAAGTGTACGCGCTTAAATAAGAGCAGAGATAGTTGTTATTATCAATTTTTCGGTTTCCTTTTATTTGGATTTATTTAAATCTTTGTTGGAATACTTTTCGAACTCAACTGACTAAAAAGGATACCAAAAGGTTTTATTATCCTGGAGACATTGCTTTATGGCATGATGCCACACCTGATGAAATTCGTATGAACCAACTTAAAAAGTCTGATGTTTTTCAAACATGTTTCCAAATTTGACAGTTGACCAGAGCAGTAGTAAACTGCCAAATCTTGCGTGAAAGGGCCTGAAAGTAGCCATTCCCTTTTGAACTAGGATATGAATAGTGTCCTGAAAAGTGTCCATTATTGCTTCGGACAAAAACCTCCCTAGTGGAAAGAACGAAAACCGAACGGAGTCCTGGTGTGGCACTTGAGCCTTTTTTGTTTTCATTGGCCTCCTTCATGGCTATTTACCTTGTGACTGCCATGTTTCCAGAGTCTCTGTTGTAAAGTTTATAAAGTGAGGCAGGAGCGAAACAGAGGCTCATGGAGAAAGTCTAATACACCACTTTCATTCCTACACAGGTTTAGATACAAGCTATATTGCCCTTTATCCTCAGCAATCAAAATGACATTAAACTTACCGTATGTTTATAGGCATCGTCGTCTGCGACTGGAAATGCAGTTTCACCACCTTCTTCTACGTCATTCAAGTAATACAATATCGTAATATACCTGATAGACAAAAAAATATCCTGGAATTGCCCTTGAGCTGACTTTAATTGCAAACAAAATATATGTACACAATTCATTTGCACAATAAATGAGATCTTCCTAAAAGAGAACAATGATCTAGGACAATTTCATGTTTCAAATGAGTTTCGTGTTCCTCTTCAAATGACACTATCACTTATTTTCTTGATTGGTTGCCGTAAATCATGAACCTAAAGGCCTGCTTCTGATTGAAAACTGGACAGATAAGGTCAGAATCGTCCCACTTCTAAGCGACAAACAGTTTGTTTATCAGATTTTCTTAGCGTATGTAGCGCTCTAGGGGAAGTGTTTATCACGAATTACCCCTGATCGCCCCCCCCCCCAATTTTCTTCCTTGTAAACCAGTTGAAGCAATCGATTTTGATGTATAACTAAACTGAAATGAAGTACCGACAATGGCCGAGTCGTTAACGATAATTTTTGTGAAATTTGAAAGAGAATTGCAACAAAACGGAAAGCAATAATTAGCCGAAGACTTCAAATTCTATGCATCAATTTCTACATTATATCACAAAACTTCTTTGCGTTTCAGTTCACCTCTAAAGGTTCTGTAGTCTCTAAGAATAATGCGTACTTTTTTTCTAACCTGCTTCACTGTACTGAAAGCAATTGATAATTCAAAAAGTATATTTCTGATTTTCCTCATTTCTAACGATCCATTTTATTTGATGAAATTCTACCTTACAAAATTCTAAGGTTATCTTTATACTTCTGACTGGCTATTATCAAATCTAAGATTATCTTTATGAATCTGACTGCACGATCCTCATTGTTACAATTTATATTGCTTAGACTTATGTTATGACAATAGAGCACTATGAAAAAAGGCACTTTTCTTTCTTTTTCTTCATACTTGAAAACTTGAATCTTTCCGATCAAGAATGAATGAGAGAATAAACTCTCGTATTAGCTCAGCTTGCAATATCTTTTTCACAAACGGGGTTCTCAAAACACACCCTATACAAGTTTCACACGCAAAGTAGGAAAAAGAACTGACGGTAGCATTTTTGTAAATGATTTCTATCCAACCTTTGTAGCTATCCATTCAATGCTAATGATTTAAATTTTCATGGACTGACACAAACCTGCACAGTCGACATTCAGTTGAAGACGCTTGTGGTTTGAATTGGCAGCAATCAAGATTTGCAAGCATCGCCTTTGATTGGCCGTCGAAGTGTGCATGGTAGTGTCCATGAACGTCATAATGCAATACCTGTCAGGACAAATAAATTAAACATCAATGCTGCTATAACGTTGTGACCTACATCCATTACAGCTTCAGTCACTGGTGGCAAGAGTAAGAGTAAGAGAGTGGCAAGAGAGCCTGACTTTGGATAACGCAGTATCAATTCACCAACGCAATCTACAGTACTTGATGATAGAAATATACAAAACCAAACATAACCTGAACCCTAGTTTCATGAGTGAGATTTTTGAAACAAGAAATGTACATTATGATTTGCGAACTAAAAATAATCTTTGCATTTCAAAAGCCAGGACAACTTCTTATGGTATAGAAACTGTGAGATATTTAGGTCAAAAACTGTGGCAAACACTACCTCACAGTATAAGAGAGTCCCAATCATTGGCAACATTTAAAAAAGAATTAAGAGCACACCCTATAGAATGCGACTGTAGATTGTGTAAAAAATTTATTGCTGGGTTAGGTTTTATTTAGAACATTATACCTTAAACCTTTTTAATATTGTATCATATATTTTTATTCCATACTAACTCTTTATAGATAGTTGGCCTTAATTAGCTTCTTTATAGCTATCAGCCGTTCATTTAGTACGCCAACTTTAAACAAATTATTTATTATATTATTATTTATTATTATTATAAGAGTTACCCTGGGTGCCAGAGCTTCGGTGAAAAAGTCGGTCGGTGAAAGGGTAAGACCACTGATCGACAATCTCTTCCACTGAAGCTCTGGTACCCAGGGTAAGTAAGAAATAATGGGTGCAGCCAAAAGAAAATTTGAGACCACGCCCTCTTCAATCATTCCAGTGCTACAAACTTCCAATACTGTTATTTTCCTTATCAAATGTTATAAAATTGGCCTACCCTTACCTACATTCCTGGACAAAATTGTTGAGACAATATGCAATTTCTACAACTGCTTCTTTAGGTTGCCTCTTTAAAATCGAATCCCCTCTTTCCCCTAAATCAATATTTGATTTGTAGTTCCATCATTTCTGCTTCAAAATTCTTGTCCAGTCTTTTTACGCTGGTAATACTTTGATTTTACAAGCAAACAATATGCCTATATGGAATTACAGTAAATAGGTAGAATGATGTCATTGCAAAAAACGCACCAAAAGTTACCAATACAAAAATTCAGAAGTTACAAAAATAGATTCATTGCCATAATTTGTTCAGCATTTACGTAGCTCGCCGGGTCGGATCCGGGAATTTAGAATTGGCGTTATATTCCCTCCGACAGAGACGAGTCTTTTAAAGAGGCAAAGCTCAATTTTCTTGCCAAATTAAGAAAGGGGCGTACATCCTGGGTACCCCCTCGTTGACCTAACTCTGGCTAGATGTCGAGAATGGGAGATTTAGCTAGCTCTCCAAAATCAGGTTTGTTAAGACAAACAACGACAATTGAGCGAAAGGTGCTCTGGTATAAAGAGACTAAGCGTAGATACTAAAATTTTACCTGCATTGGTTCGCCACCTTCAACAATTCTGGTTGGCAGTTTTGTCAGCTTTTTTACTCTAAAAGGAAAAATAATGCAAATAAATTATGAGTTTCACAACCGATCTCTCTTATTATGGTGAGAATTGCATTTCATATCGTCTCGTTTGGTTTAACTTAGTTTTCCATCTCGTGCACCCAGAATTCCTAGCTTTTTGGAAAATTTACCCCTAGCAAAAGATTCGTTTAGCCTGAATGGCATAAGAACCAGGGCGTAGCTAGCGGGGAGTGTAGGGGTGTAGCAGGGGGTGTAGGCGAAATTTCGGACATACACCCCTACTAATTCTTCAGTTAGTCGGTAAATCTTCAAAGTTTGCTCAACAAAGTTTTTCTTCATGTAAATTTTTCTACTGATGACCTTTCAACAGCCACCTCGTCCCCCCCCCCCCCAGGTCTGGAAGGTCCAGCTACGCCGCTGGCGAAACTTACGAATGCTGTACAATGGCTTGAATTAGATGTTGCTAACCTTTCTCTAAGCTTTCGCAGCAATGGGTCAGCAGATCTGTCTTGCTTTAACCATGTTTGTTCGCTGTACCTGTCACGAAACCTGGGGTGTGTTTCTCTAAGGGCTTTCATGTAGTCATCTATAGCCTCTGTGTTAAGCGTTTGGAACTCTTCTTGGGTTATTTTTCCTAAAACGAAAACGTTTCAATGCCAACCTTTGCAAATTACCCCTAATTATACTACACCGTGAAACTAAAACTCGCCCAAAGACTGCATCAAGAGAGAGCAATCGAGAACAGTTAAACGCAATCCAGGGGCGTCGCTAGTTACTGTGCAGGGGGGGGGGTGGTGCCCCGAAATACATCAAAAGACATAGTACTTGAATGCATGTTGATTCATCTTTCTTTTCTTTGGGTCGGACAAGGGTTATGATCAAATGTACCCATTATGATCATATCTCCAGGAAGGCAAAAAGGAGTTCTAAAATTAAAATGTATATGATAATAAGCTTAAAAAATAAACTAACCATCGTTGAAACTGTCCAATTTCATCTCTTTAAACCTTCAAAATCAGAGAATTATACTTTGACGATTTCTTTGATTAGAAATGGCATAAAGCTACATTACTTTAAACTGACTTTTTGTTGACTTTAAACTGAAGTTTTAATTGCAGTACATCACCATTCCAATTAATCTATATGTTGTTCAAAAAAATGTCTAAAATATTTAAAAAGGCCATCCGCACAAGCGGGGGAAGGGGGGGGGGGGCAATTCACTCTTGCAAACAGCGTACGAGATTTTTTTCGAACACAAAAGGATTTCTAAGGATTTTCAGATGAAACAATAGGATTTTGACAAAAGGTGTATGATATTTTATTGTAGTGATTTGCCCCTCGCACACAACAAGTTTTGCCGGGTCAAATTATAGCATTTGAATCTATCATTCACAAGAATGTCGTTTTGGGAAAAGAAGGCGTTTGTGAAAAGTTTTATCAAACGATTGTAACTTTTGACATCGATTATTACAATATTATCTAGTCATACATAAAACCTTCAAAGTTAGACATATGCATGTATATAAATATGTATTTATAATAAAATAGAAGATAGGCTAGAAATGAGACATGTTCTCTGTTACTCCGAGTTTCGTGCTTGCGCAATCATCAGACAGATTATAGTCTGTCTGATGAGTGGGCAAGCACGAAACTGGGAGTAACAGCGAACATGTCTCATTTCTAGCCTATCTTCTATTTCATTATATCTATTGCTCTGTGCTTTTGCACATCGAGCACTGTCATGTCAAAATAGACAGCGCACGCGCAATCTGGAATAAATATGTATTTATACAGTAGAAGTTAGGCTAAAAATGAGACATGTTCTCTGTCTTATATGACTATACGTTGGATAAGGACATGTCTCATTTCTAGCCTATCTTCTACTATATAAATTGCTCTGTGCTTTTGAACATCGTTAGCATAGACAACGCAATCTGGTATAAATATGCATTTATCAATATTTGGTTGGGAGGGGTATTGAAAACAGCAGAAAAGAAAACATAGCTTACATTTCAATGACGTCTTCATCTTTTAGGTATAAGAATCTTGTGTTGATTGCAAACTGTTTAACCTGTTAAGATATGAAAAGATCAGTGCCTACTCAATTGGAATTCATTTTCATTTACAACATAACCTTGCGGTGTCACACACAGCGAGCCTCTATCTGAAGAACAGGAGGAGAAGCAACTTAACTCTTCACTCGTAGGTTTTTTGGACCTGGTTCCATTTCGAAGATACTGTTGTTGTGAAGAATATTAAGTAAGACAAGTGGATAGCTTGCATCGCAGATGTTAGATCTAAGGCACATCTTCAATATTATTTCTTGTTAAAGATTTTCTGGATCCTTTGAAGGAAACTTCTTATGACAAATACAACTATATGGAATCCCCTCATGCGACACAACCGAGGGGCAATTGACTCTTGCAAATAGCGTACGAGATTTGAACTAAAACAAAAGGATTTCTAGGGATTTTATGATAAAACAATAGGATTTTCACAAAAGGTGTACGAGATTTTCTTTGAGTGATTTGCCCCTCGCGACACACCAGTAAAACAGATACGACATGTTGTATGAGATAGAAACTCTTATATTCCCTGCACAAAGACCCATGTACCACCGGGAAGGCCCCAATCTTTTGCGAAGCAAATAATTTTCAAGTCCCCCCCCCCCCCCTTTTGCTAGCCTTGGCCCCACCCCATCATTTTCAAATTCACGGGATGGGCCTCGGCCCCAGCGGAAATAGGCGTGACACAACCATCTTTTTTCAACCGAAACAGTCACAGGCGACTCATACGACTTAAAAATGCAACAAGAATGTTTCCAAGAATGCACTTCTTTGTTTCCAACATGGCGACAGATAAAACCACAAGGAAAACACAAGTACTGTATCTGTTCGCATCGAATTGTATTTACGTAGTAGGTGGTAGGCTCATACGACTGTTACGACAAACACGACTAAGAGGAAACCAGCCTAACTTCGAACTGCCCTACAGTCGTGTTGACATTCTTTGAAAAAAGAGAGAGCCCGAGAAGCAAGGACCGAAGTGCCGGGGGGGGGAGCAGGGGGTCTTGACCCACCAAAATCTTAACTTGCATAGGTAAAATACTTTTATTTTGTAAAATATGGCTTTTGTTACACTGATTTATCAGGGCTGGCTCCCCCCCAAACAAAAAGTTGTATCTCGGTCTTTGCCAAAAAGTATTGAAAAATCGGAAATAGCCGTTGGAAGTCACTAAAACGCTTTCCTGATAGGGTAAGTGATGTGATAAGCTTTTGGGGATGGGAATTTTTCAAAAACACCCCGTTGTTACCAGCCTGGTAAACCGGGGAGTTCCTTTTCGAAATATCGCATGACCCAAGCATTTTTCCATTTTCCCACGTCCCCGCAAGCTGTGATTTATTTTTCCCCAGTTAATCCCAAGTTCCCCCTTTTCGGGCATCCCTTGCCATTGCCAGTCCAAGCTTTTGCTCTGATGAAGCCACGTATGCCGGGGCGAAATATTAGCCTTTACTGATTTACGTGTTTTATTGTTGTTTATTCTCGGCGTATTGCGGTGTTTCATATTTGCTACATTTTTATCGACTTTTCGCCGCAAGAACTTCTTGGAGCCCGTCGAGCAGCCTGCTACAGTGGCCTTTTCTTCATTCACACAAGAAATTTTACCTGTTTTCCCCTGTGACGAAAACGCTCGCTAGGCTTCTGTCTGTGTTCTGGACAGTTTTCATCATGATACGACCACGTGCAGCGGTCAGTACAGAAAGAGTCCCAGAATGGGTTTACTTCCGCATAAATATCGTGTTTGGTACACCGAGATGCCTTGGTATTCAAAATGCACAATCATTAATCTAACATGTTATTTCTCCCTGACTGTCATGTGATTTTATTCTATTCATTCATTGCAAAAAAAGTTCTGGAATGCGGAATTGGAGGCGTGGTTTTTGTTAGTGTATTGAAAGATTTCTAAAGGCCATTGAATAACGAGAAATCTGGCTCCTCACGAGGCCAACGGCTACCAATAGAAAAAGTATTTTAAGCAAATGGACTAAAAGGATTTCAAGCAAGGGAAGGAGTCAAAGAAATTATTTACAAAAGGCGGCATGTTCAGTATAGATTAAGGGCCTTTGTTCCAGCTGTACTCACCACCAAGAAGGGTTTAGGTGGGCGGTTATCTACAATTTTGTCAAAACATGGTCTAAGCATATGCTTACAAGCTACAACTCAAATTATGAGAGAAAATGCAGTCTTTGTTATAAAAAACGATTTACGAGTGACTCGCCACTGGCATTGCTTAGAAGCAAAATAATCTTGTTTTACTCTTCTTCTATAAGAATGTTATAAATTTTGTCTATCCTTGATATTCTTGAGAAATGTTTCTTTTTGATCCTAGATACATTCTTCAGGTATTCTTATTTTTTTCAAATCTCACATGGTTTCAGGGAAACATCGGCCACCCTCAAATAGAAACTTGGCTTTATGCTATAACGAGATATGCTGGTCATGCAATGCTCTGTTGTTAACATTGCAGATCAGGCAACTGCTAAGAAACGAGAAAAATTGTGCAAGCTGAGGCTGACCAATATTCTTATAATATTCTCAAATATTGAATGACTATGAGCCTGAATATTCTTATAAGAAGGTGTAGTACACTCTTTTTTTATAAGAACAATTTTATAAGAACACGAGCCTCAAAACTGGTCAAAAGTTAAGAACAAATTGAGAACAAGCTGAGGCTGAGCTTCTGCAAAATGCAATTTTGAACAATGTTTTTTCTCAAAATCGAGGATTTTTAGCGATGTGTGGGTGCTTTTGGTGAATATTCAAGTTTGTCAGCAAATTAAGGCTGTCTCAATCACTTTGTTGGCAAATGAGGCCTGAACACCTCCTTAGAGCGAAAAAGCTAGCAATAGCACTTCTTAACCCTCTTAATTTAAGAACAAATTAAGAACAATCCAGCCTCAGATTTTCGAAAAAATTAAGAACAGTCAGCCTGAACATAAATTTACTGGCTCTTACAAAAAAGAGTGTAACTAACCAACTTTAGGTACCTGTTGATGAATTTTAAAAAACCTAAATTCTATAGTTTATAGCTAACCTATTTTTTGAAGTATCAAAACATTATTCCGGCCACTTAGTTTATCGACGTTATCAATGAGATGCTATTTTGTCGATTTAAAATTAAATTGCACGGAGAAAAATCCTGCTACTGCCAATTTTCTCTTCTAATTATTTTCTACTACATAAATTAAGAAAATTTTAACTCTATTACTCTATTCCATACTGTGTGCCTGGCACTGAAAAGTAAACAATATTAAATGTCCTTGTTTTACAAGAAATGTGAGAATCGTTTCAAAAGTATTTTAATATGCGAGAATGCGCGAAAATTCTAAAATGTGCCAAATTCTCAAATGTTGGCAGATCTGAGAATTGAAAAAATTGAAATTGTAGGAAAAGTGGAATATTTTGTACTAGCACTTCAAGAATATTAACTATTGTTTAAGAGTAGAAATTTACTCTTTACTTTTAGCATCTCAAAAACCTCACATTCAGTGGTGCGGTTACTGTAGTCTCACCCCTATTAAAAATTTTGCTACTTTTTGTCGGAATTCTTCGAACAGTTACTCGTTATCCAACAAGAGTCGAACTCGAGCTGTGCCCTATCTGTGTCCCTTTTTTTGCATCGGACGGACAATAAACAGTATACCACAAATAATTTAATGCTGCTTTTGGCGATTCCCTTTCAATGTCAAAACGTGGTGGCATGGAATTTCAGGTATAGCTCACATGTTACCACAATCTCAGGTCCCTACACCCAATGGGCAGGAAATGTTCATAGGGTGTCTAAGCAAAAACGTTTGCGGTTGAAGGAATGGCTCTTCAGGGAGATTAGCGTGGGCGCTTTATTGCTTCCTTCTTTGCTTCATTGTGATCTCACATTTGACGTAAGAAGAATGAAAGAAATTACTCGACCAAAGTGCTAAGTAAGCGGGACTCTCACTTCTTTTACGCCTGGGCTCTCTCAATGAAGAAAGAAAGTTTGCAACATTTTTGGAATGTGTAAGAATGAGCCTATACGTATCGTCTCTTCTCCACAGGACAGACTCCGGCAATAAGCTTTGCTGTTGGCTCCCTCATCACCCATTTCATTGGCAAAATTCAGAGTCTGAGATTTTAAAAAATATATATTTGGGGTCTGTGAATTACAAGTTAAGAAACAGTCAATATTTAGGGTTTGACAATTACAGGTTAAGAAAAATGCAATATTTGGTGTCTGAGAATTACAGCTTAAGAAAAATGCAATATTTGGGGTCTGAGAAATGAAAACAAAGTTGTAAAAGAAAGCTAAATATTAGGGAGAATCCTTAAAGAAAGGAATCCTGAAATTTTGAATCTTGAAACATCTCTCTTGGCTCTTTATTGTTTAGGGTATTGAAATGGGATTGAAATTATTGTGATTTTCAAGAGAATTTTACAAAAATGGTAGTCCAAAATATGTAACATTATTCAGGGTCTCAAAATTTTGAGACTCAATATTTGGGGTTCTTCAAAACTGTAACTGAATATTTAGGGGTCAACAAAAAATTGCTGACATGGACGCCCGTATAGAAAAGTAGTGAGCACCCCCCTGGGCAAAATACGCGTCGGAAGCCTGCATTGCTTCTACCAAATCTGAAATACAACAAGTGCCGCCTGCCAGGGCGGCCGAGAGGGAGGGGTAAGGGAGCAAATTTCCCCTGGGCCTCAAGCTCTAGGGGGCCTCATGAAATAATGAACTCCGTTTTAGAAAGGGATTCATCAAATGCAGTGGTGGTTTTAAGGGGGTCCAGGGGGGCCATGGCCCCAGGCCCCACGCTTATGATAGCCAAAAGGGGCCCTACACCTAACAAAAAAGATGGAAATTGTAGAGAACAAGGGCCCTGCAAATGTTTTTGGCCCCGGGCCTCGCAGATGTTTTTGGTCCCGGGCCCCGCAGATGTTTTTGGCCCCGGGCCCCGCAGATGTTTTTGGCCCCGAGCTCCGCAGTTTTTAAAACCGCCACTGATCAAATGTAGCAAAAATTTGCTTAAGATTAGAACAGCGTTTGAAACGATTGCATGAAATAAATGCAAGGAAATTTCTGAAATACATTTTAAGCTAATCTGGAGGGGGTGGTCGCAAAAAGTTTCTGCTCGCATTTCTTGCAAGCGACCTCGTCATTCACATTTGCCCCATGGCATCCAAAACGTCTCTGCAGCCCTGCCCCCTGCCCTCATTCTCAAATATAGATCAATTTGGGTAAACTATTAACCTCCTATCCAACATCCCTAATGATGGCATGGGAATAGTTCGAAATTTTACACAAATTGTTGTCCTTGTTATCCTTTTTGCTTGTTTAAAGGAAAATAATAACGTGAGCAAGCTGAGAAAAGCATGCATTTGATCCTCAGTTGCAAAAGGTGGGGTTGTAACCCCTCTTCCCCCAATAAACTCCTGGGCCCACCAAAAGCCTTGAAAGCAACTATATAATAAAGATCAAACTCATGTTGAAAGAATATCGTGGGTCTAATCGAAATGAACTGCACTAACTTACATCTTCAATCGTTATTTCACCATCTTCATCGATATCCCAGCGATCAAAATCTCCAACCACAAACCTTGAATGGCCTAAACAACGAAGGAAGATATCAAATACAGTTCTAATCAATTAAAAATGCTAATACACTACACATGCACATTCTACAAACAACAACAAAAATTACGAAACAATTTTCTTACCATGAGTGTAGTTTTTACTGGCAAGAGCGTGTTTATCGAAAAACAGTCCACTCGCGTGAAGGCCTTGTGTTGTGGCGATTTCGATAATGTGATCACATTCCTCGTCGGTGAGAAAGTTTAGAATTTCTGAAAGACAAGGAACGCATATAAAATAGCATGTACCATTGGGCATCATTTCATTCAACTGTGTAGGCAGTTTCCCTTCACATATCAAACACGTTTACTTCATTTCTTTATGTAGGAAGGTAACAAAATATTCAGAAGCAAGGGATCTAAGGAAAAGAGAGAAGACACGCCTTTCTCTGTTCTCAAAAATCCCAATGGGGCTTAGATATATCTTTCAAGGGACAGGGTCAACCTCTCTTTTAGGAGAAATATTCCTCGTCAGAAGGGGGGAAGGGGGGAATAGTAACATTTGGACAAGATAAGATATTGTAAAGAAATGAAAACAATGTAAGATACGCGTTCGAGAGTCTTGATACGTACCAAAGAGTTTTGGCTTCACTGCGACCGTTCTCAGTGTATGAATTTTTCCCTCCTCTAATTCAAGTTGTCTTTCGTAGCCTCTCTGTACACAAAGAAAAATCACTTTCCTGTTTGGCTTGAATTGCTGACACTATTCTAACATTAGATCAAAAACATCATTCATCAATTTGATTTATTACAAATTTCTTAAAAAGAAGATTATTACGCACGCCCGAGCCCAAGATGTTAAACTTCTTTTGAAAGTAGATAACTACTTTAATTGAAAATACGGTGAAATCCCGCCTTTATCAAACCCCACTCAATATGAACCACTTGCTACAATAACAACCTAAAAGTTTTGCCCCCTGGATTACAACACAGACGCAAATGGGAACACTTTAGTAGACTTTAAGGATAAAAGGTTATAGAAATATGTAAAAAACCCAACTAAAGTTATTGATCTACAAACACCTGTTTGCAATTACCACTGTTACTATTACAACGTTTCAAAATCATAAATCAAATCGTTTCAAAAAAATAAAGATGTGAATTTACATTAAGTATAGGATAAACATATAAATTCGCTTAATAACAATCATATTAAGACAGATAATAACTTTGATTTTCTAATGTTTTGATCAATGGAGAATCTCTGACGGTTTGAAATAGAAATCTGAAAACTGTAATAGCTTTCTTTATTTATATGTCTCACTTCTTATCCCTTTCAACTATTTTACTGAGAAATCAATACTTTTAACTGATAAAGGCGTAACATTTTGCATTCGTCTGCAAAATAATTCATCTATGTATCTAAATTCATCGATAACCGAGTTTGTACTAAACCCTGCCATACTTGAATATTTTTTGTATGAAAATCTCTAGCTAATGTCACGAAAAAATGTTTCTGGCACATTTTCTTACTATTAATTCACGTGGATTTTGGTTTCACTAAATACATGGTGAACTTTAGGTAACAAATGCCAAGATGAACAAGAGACAAACTGATTTTCTAAAACGCAAATACTGCAGGTTACATGAAGGATACCTGAAATAGGGTAGGCCTAGCAAGCCACCCTTAACTAACATAAAGAGAAAAAGACAATTTGATTATTAGCCTTTATTGAATTTGCAGGGAGGTATAATTTGAGCTTTTTACTGATCTTGTCCCCCGAAATGCACCGTTGTTTAAAAACCTTGGGAGTATCATCACCGGACATGAGTCAAATAGGGAAAGATTAGGGTTTTCAAAAACCAGCAACATGTATGAATATCTGGCCATTTTAGACAAGCAACATGTATCAAATTTGAGACAATATATAGCTGCCTTCCACTTCATATTGGTTAATAAATTCATTCTAAGCATGCTCTTTCATGAAACGCTATGAAACGCTTTGAAGTTTATAAGGCATACCTCAACAGGATCCCATTGGAATAATGTTTCCTCTTGTTCTTCGTAAAAGCAAGGCTCATCCTCGTCATCCTGAAAGCAGTGTTCGTTGCCGTTCTCGTCTTTCGTGCATTTATCTGAAGAATATTTGCTCGCGTGTGTTATCATAAAAAGAATAAAAATATATGTAAGTTTGATGTAAAAATCCATTCTAATTTCTTTATTTACAAAACCGCTATGAATGCGAAGGGCCTAAATATCAACTGATTCAAAATTCTGGTGCGGTGTTCGACGGGTTTCTCCTTCATTGCATGGACAAGCATTGTGATGGACAAAGCCACCAGTCAATGAGATAACTGGTACCATACCTACGTGAAGAAGCTCATGCTTTCTAGCGTAAGGGATACTAATGAAGATCAACTGCTCAAGACCTACAAAGAGAATCAACAAGAAGAGCAGCTAATTTGGATCCTTGGTAGAGAGCTCTTTGTTTTCGAAGTGACGTGTCCTAAACTTTGTTACGCTACTGCATCCGAGAAGAGGGCCTACAAACGGCCCAGCCGAAAAGAGGGCCTTTACGATCATTCCTAACTATCTTTATCTTACAACGTTTTCAGCTGCTTTGGCCTTTTTCGGCAATCACATACACAGCATTGGGGCTCTCCCCTATTCATATCATTCAAGGATTGGTTTTGAGGCATGGCTTCCCGCTTCTGTTTGGGGTTTTTAGCGTTCCTATCGAGGTAATAAGAAGCTCGATCCAATTTTTTCAATAGATCAGTGTTCAGAAAAGACTAAAAAAGCATCAATGAAATCAATGCCTTTCGAAAAAGTGCTCATTCCCACAAAATATTTTGACCAGAGATTCGGGAAATAGCTGCTTTATTTTCACAATGTATACAAAAATGATTTTTTACTTTTTCTTTGCTCACTCCAGCAAATAAGTAAAAAATAAATACCCTGTCAGAATTAACATCTACTTCAAGCAAAAACTACCATTACAATAGATGTTCATCTTACTCTACTCCAGAGAAATTTCGAGGTATGAGCAAAAACATAACGACGCATGCACTATAAACGCAATTAATCTAAAAGACACCTCAAATGGGGGAAAATTACACAACATTTATTGGGATATTTATGGTTTGTAGCTCTGCCCACAATGACATGGATGAAGACAAATTCGTCCCAATTTCATCTACCATCTAGCGATTTACCGACCAATCAGCAGTTTAGTCGACCAACTGAAGATAATTCCGAACAACTCATGTAAAACAGGGAGTGTCATACCACCTACAACTCCCATCAGATGCACACCTGCATCCATACAAAGTAATGGATGACCACTTGCTTAAATCAATACAATCATACCAGATCATACCAGGTAGAGTATTGATTATAGCGTTCATGGTGTTCTCTTCAGTCGCTTTAGGGCAGGTTGCGGTCGTGGTAGCACATAATACATAAAAATAGACATTTATACATGCTACCTAGACTCACTCCATGAGCCTCTGTTTCACAACTGCCTCACTTTACGGAAGCAACCAGAGCAGAGGCTCATGCAGTAAGTCTACACGATATCATCCTTCAGTTAATCTAATCATAAAGACAATTTATAAATCAGTAATAATTGAAACATAAGTTGAATAAAAATAGAATAAATCATAATCTTGTCACTTAAATCAATGTTGTTCCAGGGTGTCGTACATCGAGGTCATTGGCATATGAAGTAAAAATGATAAATTCATCTTTTCTTTAAGCTTCAATATTTCATCTTTCACCCTTAAAGGAATTTTGAAAGCAACTAAAAAAAAGATTTTGACCCGGTTTACGACAGGACCACTGGTGTCAGAAAAAGGTTCATATGACTTTTGAATGTTTTCATGCGGAGGTGATTAGAGCATAGAGTTGTTTCATACCGGGCAGCGTATATAATACGAGTTAATTGAACTTATTTTTTGTCATAAAACTAGCCAATATCTTAAATATAACAAAAAACCAACATATACCATACTTAGTAAATGATAATAGTCAAAATCAGAAATTTCCATGTTATAACTAACATCAACCCAAATCTCAATCTATGGAGGGTTTACCAAAAGGGGGCAGCTGTTCATTTGTGGAAAGGTGAACTATTGTTCGAGCCTATTCTTTTAATAGAGGAAATTCGGCGTTGCATAACTGCACCTTTATAGGCATAACCAACAGATCAGCATGCCGAAAAGAGGGTACTAAAGACAGCTTCTCACCGTGCATTTGAATATAAATCACTTCAACCTGCTTATGCTTGCAGTTGTGACCCGAGAAGTCCTGACAATGGCGACAGTTTTCTACAATTTTTTAAAAAATTGGGGCCAATGTGATTCCTTTTGAAAATTACTAGACAATTTGCTTGCTATTAGTTTGAGCATCTGGTCTTTTATACATAGTTAATGCTTGTAATACCAAATATAATCAAATAAAAACAGTCACCAGGAAGTCATAGCAAGATCGTGTATTTAACTTGACCTGGGAATCATAGAGCCTTTGGGATATGCATTGATAAAAATGAAACTCCTCTACAGATAGTTAGCTTCGAGAGAGCAGAATCGTGGGGTGTAGTAACTGGTTGGAGAGCATCAGATACCAGCAAAGTGCAAAGCAGATTTCTGTGAAGAATCGTTTCTCATTCCCGCAGACTAACGAATCGGCTTCCACGATATGCTGATCTTCAAATTCCTCTGCTACCAGAAAAGCACTGACAACCAGAAAGTGGAATATAAGTGCAAGAAGGATGTGAATTCCAGGTTCCTTTGAACAGTTTCGTTATAAACTATAAAAGATGACAAATTTACTCTCATCAATGGTATAACGACAATACATTTTCTAGATATTTTTCCTCATTTTAAACACATTAATTTTTACACGAGTTTTAACAACAAGACTAGACAAAAAGTGAAATACTGTCGAGTCTTTTTTAGCAACAACTGACATCAGCATATTTAAAATCATATCTAAAAATATCTAAAACCAATTAAATTAAGTAAGAACTATTTGGTGCCCAAAAATAAATTGTGAAATTAATATGAGGAAGCCCAAGTGTCTATTGGGCCAGCTACTGGGGAAAAAATTTGATATCTGGACCTTGGATCAAATACTAGCTGTCTCGAAAAGGTACCAGAAAAACCAGTACAAGGTTGGCTGAATCCTATTTTAGAGAAAAATCTAGATTTTAGGGATATGCTAATTTTTGGATGCACCTGAAAGAGATATAAAACAGCCTACAATGACTTCAGGAGAGCTCTTGGAGTGGTGATAAAGCAGCAACTCCCTCCATACATACATGCTTCCAGAGAAAAACTTTACGTACAGTAATATTTCAGCAATAAAATGCTTACTGAAAATGTGGGATGCTCATTGAGGGTGGGACATGATATGTGAATAAATGCTTCATATTGCAAAAGGTTAACTTTTCATTATGAGGGTGTGGTACAATCACAATTAGCAATAAGTTGTTGAATACAAGACGAACCAAAACCATGTACACAATTTCTACTCGTGAAATTTACTTTGATTAGAGGATAAACATTGCATACACCTTCGCATATGTAGTTGGCTAAATTTCAAAGGTATATGAAAAATCACGTGAAATTCAAATTTTTTTCTTCTATTTACACAATATATAGCAGAAATATTAAGAGCATTACCTACAGCCATGAAGTCACATGCTAATATCTCCATCGCAGGGTATTTTGCAAATTCATTTTGCTCTAGTTCTTAAAAGTGGTTGCGAGAAATATTTCAGTGCAAAGTAAAGCAACATATATTGTTTATACTAGTTCTGATTGTGTCTAGTTCTAATCATAATTTTATTCAGAGTTGAAAGAATTTTTTTTGCTTTGGCAATAACATTTCTAAAGGCAAACATTTTAAAACCTTGGAGGCAGCAAAAAACAGCTTAGTCAGAAGAACTAGAATTCTTCCGGACTTTTAATACCGATCCCATTCGGAAAAATATCTAGATTTTTTCCATTAACTCAAGGTATTCAGCTAAAGTTGGTAAAACCTTTGTAGACTTTATTCATCGTGACTGGCGTCTGGTTCTGTGAATGCCGAATCTGTCAAGGCCTCAACTTTGTATGTAACAGCATCTAAGAAGAAAAATACAAAAATCGTTTCCATTCGTTCCACATATAGAAATCGCAGTTGACGGTTGTCACTTTTTACTTCCCATTGACAGCTGATGGACACGATTGTCAAATTTTACTTTCCGCATTCCTTAAGCGCAAATTTTCATAATCAAATTTGTTTCTTGATTTATTTTGTTTTTCGTGCTAGGAAAGCGATGAATAAACTGTAACACTTTCGCGTAAATGCTGGCTACCAAAATAATAGAGTTTCAGGGGTGGGAGTGATCATGACTAAATTCAAAGTCACCCCAAAGGGGATATCTTGGACCCAGCAAATATTAAGAATTTCATTTTCTATCAAATACCCTTACTCCTCTAACATCTAATAGTTTAGCTCCGCTAAGTAAAATAAGTCTTTGGACGCCTCGTTTTAATGATTAAAAGGAGCATTAACCAGTACATATAAGAATTCATGACTTTAGCAAGATGACATAGCAACAAACAATCAACGTATGTTCGCATCAATCCCTTAGTTCTTTGTATTTCCACGAAACACGGAGATTTTGCGATATTCTGATCAGTGATGACAGTCCCCAAGAAGTGAGCACCTTCAATATTTTCGCTCTACAATTTCATAGCAATTTTAACAATTTCTAGTATTAAAACACTTTCTTGAAACCCTGGTGGGGGATAAACATAGGATTTACTGCAGCTAAAACAAGACAATCGGTTTAAATACGAAATGGTAGAAGCTTACCGATGAAGTTGAGGAACCACTTGGGCAGGATCTTCCACTTTACGAAGATAAAGTAGACTGGAATACCCATGAGAATGAACAATAAACAATAGAATGATTCCAGGGGGTAATCATGGAAGGGAGCGATAACGAGGTAGACTGATGCCAGAAGAACGATGACCGGGCATCCAATGAAGACCTGAAATATCATAACGGGGGTTAAATAAACAACTAAACTTCGTGAAACGTTTGTGATACTGGTGATATCGAAAATGAAACAGGAATGAAACAGGTCACTGGGCAATCACAGCTCTTACATTGCGGATAATTTTTAAAATACTGATTTGGATAGCTACTAGAAATAAGGGTAGATATTAGAACTAGTAAATGATGTTCTTACGCAGTCCTGCTGCAAATTGAACAGCGAATAAGGACGGAAATAGAACTTGAAACACAAGGCATGAAAAAAGACTCGGAGGATTCGTCAACTCTAAAATCTATCAAAATAACAAAGTTTAAAGTTGCACTTTACGACTAGGGAAAAATTTGGTAGATAAATGCATTTATTAAGAAGGTAACCTGTGACGCAATACATACTTTGTAAGGTCTCTCTAAATCAGGCTTGCTGAATCTCAGCCAAAGAAGGGCAGCAACTGTAGCACCATAAAAGGTCCATGCAGCGAATGAAAAGTAATTTATAAGAGTGTCAAAGTTGCTTGAATCTGGAATCAACATGATCCATGCAATGATGCACTGAAAATAAACAGATATATAATATCATTTATGACAAATCAAATCGATCACAAAGGGAAATGAAATTCTTACAGCAGTCACACTTTCACTAAGTCGGACTGTTTTTCATTAATTTCACGCTTGCATGAAAAGAAATGCATTTTGATAGAAATTTAAAGGAATTTTAACCGATGCTCCTCGCAGTATGAAATGTAGCTAAGATAATCATGAATTATATGCTGTGGAATATTTTCGCTTTTTCGTGGAATATTCAGACAAAGAATAATGCTTTGAAAAGTATCTTTTTCTAATTCAGAAATATTTTTGTGAAAACATTCTTTTCGCATCAACAAGTCTAGCTATGCACCTGTAACTTTGATTTATATGCCGGGAATTGCTAAAATTTGAACAAAAATTTGCTTACAGCTACGTGAGTTAAAAGAAGTGCACCCAACAGCCAGTCTCATACTTACTGTAAAAACTAACGCAGGTAATGGGGTATGTCTTCTCCTGTGAATGAGTGCCAGCATTTTGGGCATATGTCCTTCTCTAGCTGATACATAAACTAACCTAAAAACAGAGGAAGCAGGAAGTAAATGAGAGAACATACGTTCAACATACTGTTTACAAAAATGATATAAGATTTGGGCGATTAAATGCACACTGATAGCGTGGAGTGCCAAGCGAGGAGTGGCCAATAACAGAGAGAACATTGCATATATGAGATGCTGCAGGAATTTTATCATAAGAAGGCCGATATTTGCATTTCATCGATTGTGGACCTTATTCTATTTTGTCATAGTAAATTGAAGGAGAAAGACCGATAAGCCCTTGACATTTAGAATATTACATGTCCTGACAGCGTGCAAAAGTTTGCTGTTTACAAATAAAAAAAGGTAAAAACTCGTGAATGAGTAAAAATGGGAATTTGTTCACCCAGGGTCGCAGTTACTATTGTTATTGAGAGAATGACGTTCCTGGCAGTTCTTTTAACATAAAGGACCGGTTTCCAGTATCATCCTGGAACGAGGGCCTACTAATGTCAATCAATGTATTGGACTGGGGCGATACTAGATTGGCTCTGGCGAAGAAATTATGTTCAGGACGCTGGTACAGTGACATTTTAGTTCGGACAAAACTTTCAGAGTAAATATTTTCAATATAGATTTCAGTTCCTTTTTAGCTTTCGGATATTTCCGGTTTATGTTTCCTTGGGTATTCCCTTGAATTTGAAGGGGTTTCCTAGGAGTGAGACACATGTTTACACACTGATTTGGTTTAGTTATATATTATTGTTAGTCATTGACGCAGGTTTCTAAGAATATTTGTGAAAATTTGTTCAATTTGATTAGTTCTGGAAATTTATTGCAAATATGTTCCTTATTTATTCGCGTGACCTGGTTTGTCAGCATTAAACAAATCGAGAGACGACTCGAGTTTCTGCCTGATTGTGAAAGGAAAACCGTGTGAAAACGCTCAAGAATTTTAAATTGTTCCTTGCTTTACGCTTGGCTCAGAAATAACACAAGATTCTACTGTTCAAATGAAAAGGGGGTGAATATGCTTAAATATTATGAGTGTGGTCACAAGTGATATTTCAGACCACACCCTGGTGTGCGACAGTCGGAATACTTTATCATTTTTTATTATTTTTATTATAAAATTATTTACAGTAGGCGACGCAAAATTTTTTTAGCTATTACAACAGCTAATTAAAGCCTACTATTTATACTAAACTTGCAAATCTTAAATTATATACAATGAATGGATAAAAAATATAGGAAATGTACAAAATTAAAAGGATGACTCATTAGATAAAAATATAAAATTATTCGATGACTATTTCAAGAATCCAATCTGCGCAACGTAAGGTTTGCATAGTCTGCAGTTGCATTTTGTATCTTTCCAAGTTTTAATCTTTTTCTTAAATATTGCGAGGCTAGAAGACGTTTTAATGTCATTTGTAAGCTCTTGCCAGAGTTGCTTGGATCCCATAAAGGTTGTACTTTCTATACCATAACAATTTGATTTTGGTTTTGATGGCGATATTCGGGATATGTTTCTAAGATTATAGCATGTCTTTTTTCAGTAAAGATTTCTTTCATGAAACTTGGGTTAAGATTACGTAAAGTTTTATATATTTCTGTAAGAAGCAATTGTAGATTTTTAACATGGATAGACGTCGAGATGTCTTTTTCAAGAAGAGTTTTGTTCATCTGTCGATCACAAAACATCCAAATTAAAGGGCAGTAGCTAAATTGTGATAAAATGAACACGTGCATGGTCTGTTTTACTTTTCTATCATCCATGTAGTTGGAGATTCGGGATAAAGCATGTAGCTTTCGGCTGGCATTTTTGCATATCGATTGTACGTGTCCCTTGAACGACAAATTATTATCAATACTTATTTCAAGAAGTTTTTGCTCTTTACTTGGTTTAATTATCGTTTTATCTATTTTCAGAGATGTGTCATTGCTGCGTTTACCAAAACTTATAAGGTGGCATTTGTCCCCATTCAGTTTCATATAATTAATTTGAAACCATTCTCTCAAAATAACTGCTTCTTCGTTGTAATGTTTTAATAGCCTGCTTGATGTCTTGGTGTATGGCATATAGCGTTGTGTCATCAGCATAATTGCATATTTGGCTATTTGACATAAACATAAACATATCATTTAGATATATATATTGAACAAGAGAGGTCCCAAAACTGATCCTTGTGGCACATCTACACTTTCTAGATCCGCCCCTGGGCTCGGCGAATTCGCTGAAGAATTCGCTGAAGTGGAAACCGGCCTAAACATTCTCCTTGTCCTTGAGATGATGGCTAAACAAGCCTTAATCTAATAGGGCACACACTGTCTGCGAGCAAGAGTAAATCTATTCCAAATCGTACAAAGGTCAGACTGAAAACAATATGCTAGTCTTTAAGGGTGCAAACAATGGATTAAGAGAATAACCTACTGTACAGTAACTGTGAAAAACCACCATTAAGTTTATTTACAAGGTCGAATTCAACAACTTAGATATCTCCCCTTTAAACAAAGTTGATTTACCACAAAGTGGCGTTGAATGTAAGAAAGCATGTTGCTCAAGTAACGTGAAATGCATTTACCTAAATGATAAACAATTTTTGAAAGGAAGGGGGTCCGGAAATAGAAAAGAAAGGTATTTAAACAAGATCAAAGTAGTTTGGTTATCTGAGTAATTTTGTAGGCACTGCAGATCGACTAAAACACGTCTTCTAAGCATTCTGTAGACAAAATGGTTACAAGCGAACTAAACGCAGGCCAGCCGCAAAACAAAAACTACATTCACGTTAAAGTCATAGATAAAAGCTGCTCACCTTCCCCCGGTAAAGGCTGATCCGTTGGCAGCGCCAAATGTACTACATGCAACAAATACAGGCATCACCCATGCCATAACACCATACAATTGATTTGCAAGAGTCTGCAAATAAAATTTTGATCTGATACACTCATTTCTGGCTATAAGAAACTGGCTATAAGAAACGAGTACTGGACAGTCAGAAAAAATTAAGAAACTTCAGTACTCGAAGCAAAAAAATTAAGAAACTATTAAATCGTGATAAAACTGGGAACAACGAAATTCTGTAAAATCCAAGAACATGATTGCCCTGAAGGCCTAGAAATCAAGACACAAGGGATAAAATATACTTTTCACGTCTAAATACAGTGTCAGAACGGAAGCGAATCTCTTGACGTGAAAAATGGTCACGAACATTTCATCAAATCATTAAGGACATCATAATTAAGAAACTCTTAAGAAACTCTTAAGAAACAGTGAGTATTGAAATTTCCAGAACATTAAGAAACTGGAGTACTCAACATCGACTTTTGTTTCTTATAAAAAAATGAGTGTAAAAAGCATGCTGTTAAGATCAGTCGCAATTCAAACGCGATCATGTCGAAGATTCGTTGAGTGAAGTGGCCAATATACTTGTTCCATAAGACAGTTGTTAATTTGCAGTTATACTAACATCCTTAAAATATAAAAATCTTTACACAACGAAGCTTTAGACGAACTAAAAGATAATAAGTCAAAAGAGCTTGTTATGTATTTGCACTATGCCTTGATATACATGTCAATGCTTAAAGGACATGTGTAGCGAAACTGATCGGTTAGTTCAATACTTGAAAAAAGAGTTTTTCTAAGCCATTTTCAAATTTTGTACCATGGAAAGATTGTGTGCGAATAAGCATTCTGTTTCGTACAAAGAAAGAATCGAGGCTGAATTTTCACGGCAGTAATAGTTCATGAAGCAGACATGAGAAGTCCTAAAACAATGGAAATCCACTCCAAACGCCTTTGCTATACTAGCAAACTGCTAATGCGACATATGCCGTTTCAATGAAAAATTGCAAACGTAGTGAAATTACGAATGTCTTTTCTTCAACTCACCACAGCAACAGCCCCCGATGTAGATATTTGTGCTTGAGTTAAAACAGTAAGATACGCAATATTTACAAGGACATAGCAACCAGTCACCAATGGGATGCCTATTATTATTGCCAATGGTAGATCTCTGAAATGCAACATAAAAGAAAGTTTGAATTTGTAAACACATGACGGTATGTGCAGTTAAATTAATCTACCTGCGATTCTGAAAAATAATCAATAAAAATACGGTAATATTTATGTGGTCATACTAGTGTGCATATTAGAAATATTTCTCCGTTCACTTTTAAATTGTAATCGTTTTACTGTTTTATGTACGTATAAAATGGGTAGTTGCTGAAATTGGCCCACTAAGGGTTTTGGGCCACAGTCTGTCCACCGAGGGTTTTGGACCGCAATCGATCCATTAAGGGTTTTGGACAACTTTGGGAAGTGGATGATTCAGAAACATGCGGTTTGAGGCGCACCAAAAATAGAACCTGGCAGTCAGGGCTATTCGATTCTTCAAACAGAATCTGAGAACTCTTTTGAGTTTTTCTTGCCTGGAAGTATTGGTACAGTCCTAATCTTGTTGTTAACTTTCTTTTAGAAAACTCAATAAAAAAACAGCATTTTGTAGGACACAATACACATATCAACTCAAAAGAGAAAATCTTACTATCATTGGGAAAAATAAAACTGATAATACAGCTGCAATCTGATACTGAATATGCAGTCATTTTGGATTCCCTTACCGTAAAGGATTCTTGAGCTCTTCTGTAACATAATTCAAGTTGTTCCTAAAACAAATTCAAATGAAATTAAACCTGGTTCTAATGAATGGAACTATGAGCTTTTGGAGTTAAACAAAATTTAACATGATATTGAAATTTGAGCGCGAAGCTTACAATTAATGAACGTCCTGAATCGTGTTTCAGGCCAATAATCGCCTGTTAGGCTTTATGATAAATGATTCGTGGCCATTTCTCCTCACCTTGCGAAATAACTTGCAAGAAAAATTCCTGACCTGCCCACATGCTTCAAACTTACATACGTAAACGTGTTCCTGATTTCATATTTAAAAATATTTAATAAGGTAATTTTTATGAGATCTTGTTTCTATATGAGTACATAGCATAAAATCGTAACTGAAATCCCTTTATGTTAGCATGTTAAGCTGAATTCACGCGAAGAATCGAATTCACGCTTTCACATCAAGTGCATTACTTTGCGGCTATTGGACTTGATTTTGGTTTAGATAAATAACATTAAACTATGATGCAGTAACGCTTTAATATCACAATCTATTATATTAAAGTTGTTGTAACCCTGCAATCCTACAAGATATTCAGCATTGTCGCAAATGAGCTTCTGTAATGTCGTAATTCCGCAGAAAATGGAGTTGTGTTGCAAAGGAGGGGACACAATTCATAAATTAATCGCCTAGTTAAATTAAAAAGTCATTTTGCATCCCCAAAGTATTGCGAAAGTTATTTCACGACTAAAAAAGATGACTGGATAATCTGGTAACCAATTAGATTGCTGCATTTTATCAGGAGATTATACGATGGGGGCAGAGAGAGATTTAGTCTGCTGCACATGACCCAATATCTTTGGCTGGACAGAAAAATGAACCTAAGAAAAATTCTTACAGAGGTCTTACTGTTGAAACATGGTAATTGTCTGGCATTTTATTCAATCCGAGTTGGGCAGGGCAATGGCTTAAAACGAGACAGGTCAAATATCAAGCTTCTATTCTCGAATGTATATTGTCGTGTAAATTTTTCTTGTTTTGACCCATTTCGTGAATGCAGACAGTTTCTTCAAACAGGTTTAAGAAAACGAAGAGAATGTTATATCTCGAAAAGGCACTGACACTCGGTTTTTTTGTTGAAAATTACGTTGTAGACATCTTAAAACTGTTCCCAGGTGACTCTGAAAGTTAAGTTTTCTAAACTACCATAGGGAACAAATTAATAAAAATGGAGCGGAAAAATAAGACCAAGCCCCATGAATTCAAAGATCTAATTTCAACCAAAGTCCAAAGTTACGCAAGCAAACAACTTTAATACAAAAGAAACCCTAACGGAATGGAATTATCAAGAAAGGGGGGTCTTCTGCTTGTAGAGAAACCCCGATTTTCTAAAAAGATTTTCAAATCACTTTTTCTGCATTTCATGTACGAATGTCTGGCCACAAGAAGGTGCTTAGACAAGTAACAAACTCTAAGTAACAGAAATACGAAGGAGAGTTTTGATTAGAGCGAAGCATGACATATGAACACATCCCTAGTACTCGCAAAACTTGGTTTTCTGATTGAATGGCAACAAACAGCAAAAAGCACCTAATAAATAAGGTAGGTCTCAAAGCGAACAGTAAGCCGACTAAAGGGATTTCATTACGCAACGATGTGATCCAAATATTTGACACTAACATTTATCTCTCGTATCATATTTCCAAAGTGATGTAACACCATCTGTTTCCTTATCAAACAGCAAGATCCTACAATTAACCCTCTGGTCACTAAAGTTCTTTAGATTTGATTATTTATTGAAGTAACTGCGGCTGACCAAGGTGAAACGGCGAAATCGCCGCTGTTTGACAGTTTTAGGCCGTACTAGGAAACAAAATCTTTCGGATCAACGGCTACTGTGTTGCTTTGACGGGGCGGAATATTCCATAGATGTTACGGCATGTCAAACTGCATTGCAGCAGACTCGCGATATATTCTTTCATGTCTGGGTTAAAGTATCGTTTCATGGTAACTGTGAGCTTAATATCACTGGGATGTGATGCATGACCATGTGTTGCGCGGACGTGTTTTTGAAGCGCTCTTCAAGTGAATAGGATGATTGAGTTGGACTATGTTAATTCATGTTCAAGTTTTTTTACGTACAGATAACCAGTTTGCTTTAAGATATCTTAAGATATTTTTCATGTGTCCATCGGCTGATTTAACTTTATTTATGTTGTTTTTTACCTTAGCTATTTTGTAGTTATCAATTATTGTAGTTAACGACTATCAACAACATTAGATAGTAAAACGTAACCTGTAATTAACTAATATGCCGAAAAAAACTTTTGAATTTGAGTTCGAGTTCGATTCCAGGCACAGCGAACTAAAGCGATTTTATATTTGCTTCATAACTGGACATTATATATTTGCTTCATGCCGTAAACAAATTATGACTTCGATAAAAATCATAGCAAACTATCAGATACAAAGAACGGTCTCTGTTCAAATGACAAAATGTACTAAATAAATCGGGTCTCACCATCCGTCATAGGCCCATAGGCCGCCATAAAAAGCGTAGCCAATATCCGAAATGCTGGTAGTTGTACCTTCAAATGCATTCTTAAAATTTTGATTGTAACCTGCGAGATGAACAAGCTGGTTGTCACTGTTTAATACGAACGAACATAGGGAAATTAAAGGCCAAATTTATAAAAATTGAACCATGACGAAGCAAAAGAGCCCTATTTTCGAACCCGGGCCCATTAATACCACACAAAAAGTAGCTAGCACAATGAGAATTAGGCTTTTATCAGGTAATACGCAGTAGATTCACGTCTTTCCACATATGGCGACATTCTAACTCAAACGAAATTTTTACCTCAAATGAGCAAAAAACCTATTCGATAGGAAAAAACGCCTGGGATACCTAGCAATTACACTTACATTTAAAAAAATTTCATGCAGAGATTTCAAAATAGACGGGCTATCAAGTAGAAGTGGAAGGGAAGGGGCATATGCCAAAGCCAGCTATTTGATCACAAAATCTTTTAACAGAGTAGCTCATTCTTGGATGTAGTGGTTTTCCGTGTCAGTAGAAAAGCCTTGTAAAGGGCACAAATAGTAATGAGGTACGGTGAGTAGTGTTATTTGAAGGCATGCCAACAAGGTAAACTTACCCTGGCCTAGTCGAACCAATCCAGTTATAATCAGCAAGGCGATGGCAGCCAATTTTGCAGCAGTGAAAATCACTTGTATCCTGGTTGCCCATTTGACGCTTGCACAATTGATGAAACAAATAATTCCTAACGAAGAAAGAATACTCAGTTAACAAACATTATAATACGACGGAATCGTACAAGCTGATGGGCTAACTCAATGAAGAAGGATTTGACACTGCTTCACGAGATCAGGAACATCTATATGTTGGCATTCTAAGGTTAAAAAACCCATTCTTTATAAACTTTTTCTCATGGGCGTTAACGTGGCACAATGGTTGTGTCACCTTGCAAAAAGTAATACGGAGGTTCAATACGTTGGGTACAACAAAGCATTACGTCAAGCAGCATAACGAAAATCATTACAGCAGGAAAAACTAATATCGTATTTGTGCAAATGATACATCGCGATCCAAAAGATGGAGCAAACGCAAAAAAGAGCTTTAAAATACTCTGGTATCCAGAAGATGACATCAAAAAACGAAGCCTTGCTATACATTAAGACACATAACGGCAAAAACCCATTTTGTTCTTTATGGTGACAAGAAGGTTTTCACAAGAACGAATAAGTTGTTTCAATCCCTTCTAGATTATTTGACCGTCTGCAAAATAGGCTTCACCCCTCCCTTCAATTAAAATGCCAGCAATAAAATGTTAAACGATATTTAGTGTGTGGGATAAATCCCGGTATGTTTGAGGAAAAGATGCATTACAATCAAGATGTAGCATCAAAAATTCACGAGTAGGATTCATGCAATTATACATCGTCTTTGTAAGACATCCCTTTTAATTCACGCGTGTAACTTTCTTACCGATCGCAAAAACTGAGAGCATTTTAACAATCAAGGTTTTATGGTCTGAGCATCTGACAGTATCCCCTAGTGCTTCCACAACATAGGCACCGAACGTCAGAGAAATGCCGGCCTGTGCCGATGGTTTCAAAATCAGATTGCTGACCCAAGAATACATGAACCCTCCCAATCCACCGAAAGCAGCAGAGAGGTACGTGTGCTCGCTGCCTGACTTGGGGATCGACGTGCCAAGCTCAGCATAGCACAACGCGCCCATTGTCACCAGCACGCCACAACCAGCCCAAACTGACAGCAGCATCCCAGCTGAGCCTGCACGAAAAGCCACGGCGCTGCCAGAAGCAAATATTCCCGATCCAATCATACTACCAACGATCAAAGATAATGCACCAAGAAGTCCTACATGCCTCTGCAAACTAGCATGTTCTACATCTCTAGGAACGGTACTAGTATTATCTTTGGCAGATAGAATGTCTGGTTCCGAAGTTGGTTCAAACCCAACATTAGGTGTTCCAATGCAACTAGGTCCTTCTCTCAGAACTGTTGCAATATTTCCAGTGTTGGTGACACGAGGCATTTTCTGGTACCAAGCTTTTAGTTGTACTTACAAATTTTATCTAAAGTTATCTTTTTAGCAGGAAAAAAGAAAACCTTTCTAGAAGGCTGGGTCATCTTCTGTTAACAATACTTGGCGAACTGGTGTAAGAATACAATTGATGTTTATGCAGGTTTGAGTTATAGAAAAAATTGTTTGCTAGCGAGAAGCATACATCCAATCAGCGAGAGCCTCCTTGCCAATAACCGCAAAATAAGCCAGTTTGTATCAAGGTTTCGTCATCACGGGCATGACTGCGCATGTCTCGAGCTGGGTTACCAAATGTCTCAAGCAATCGGTATAACTGCAAGCTAGATACACTTCAAACAACCTACTTGTTGCATCAGCGAACCTGACTTGGAATAAGACACGTGTCTTCCATACTGGGCTACTAAGAATATTAAGCAATGTGTAAACATTTTAACAGCTGAATGTCCACAAGAAGTAGCAATTGTAGCTTACATGATCAGCTGTGCTAGCATCAAAGAAACGTAGGTTGATAACTGAGTAAGCATTAACAATGTAACAACTAAATGCAGCCTTTTTAATAAGGCCAAAGAAGCACTTCACATCCCCCGTAGCTGAATCCTTGTAAAAACATAATAGATAAAAAACTTTTCAGCGAGCTACTTGCAAACTTACATGAATATCGAGTCTCTTCCAAAAATCAAAGTTTATTTTGCAAAAAATCAAAAAGCAAAAATCGACAGTTAAAACTAAATAGATGTGACACTCGAGTTTATTTTGCCATTTCCAAAGCTCTTGGAAGTTTTTGTTTGGCAACTGAATCCCTGATTTCTTACACCTCAATGATCCTAAACTTAAATTTAACACTTGTAAGCCCTGGCAAAACGACTAAACATTTCACACAACTTTTGTTCAGTGAAAAGTTAAGTGGAAAGTTTATTCGTTTTGCCATCCTGTTTAGTGTTGTTTATTCGTGTTGAGTGTTGTTGAGCAAAGTTTGATTCTGGTGAAAAATGTTTACCGTTGTTTAGTGTTGTTTAGCAAATGTTTAGTCGTTGTGCCAACGGTTAAACATTTGTTATGCTAGCGCAGGCGCCGTAGCAGTGGAAATCCAAAGTTTTTCGTCAGTTTTCCTGTCTCTACGTGACCCAAGATCTATAGAATGCCTTGGTGAGACATCTGCATCATTTCGTTGTAGGCTACTGAATCAAGTCTTTTCTTTTCCAGTCACTTCATCCAATTCTTGTTTTTACCGACTTCTTGACTTGAAGTCTTTCATGCTAACATATAACAAACAAACGGAAAGCAAAGTCCTATGAAAGATTCCCTACAACCCCACAGCGTCCTACACAGCTCGCAGTTCAACGTTTTCTCACCCTTGCTGAACTTCGCTCACTTCACTAAACAAAAGTTGAGTAAAATGTTTAGTGAAATGTTTACAATGAAAATTACATGCTTTTTTAAAAAGAACCTGCCTCAAGGCCTAGTTCCAAAAGTTCTTTATTTTTAGACCTCAAATCATCAAATTGTAGTACCAAAATTTCCTTAATAGTTCCTTGATTTTCACAGCACATCAAGTGCCATAAAAATAGTACAGAAACAGAAAAAGATAAAAATTTTGAATTTTGCCTTTACTTAAGGCTAGAACTCAGGAGCAAAAACATAAAAAAGGCTATGTATAGCATATGCGGAAACTACTCAATGAAGCACTTGACACACGAATAGCAACCAATCTATGCGAGTATTGGCTGCAAATGAATGGAACCGGCTTTTTAGTTCTTGATTCTTGCAGTTAAACAAATTTCTCAAATTGAAAAGTTCTTTAGGGATTTCGTTTTTAGTAGTGTTAGTTCTTTAAATATTTCGGCCTTCTACATGTAGGTTCCTTATAAAGTGGTTCCTTATAAAAAAAGCGTGTAGTCGTTTTGCCAGGGCTTCCTTAGTAGAAGGAAGAAAAATGTAGAAATCCGTTGATAAAAATGAATTTGACGTAAATATATGACAACAAAAGATTCAAGTGAGCTGTAAATAGACCGCGACTGACCGCGACACATTCACAGTCTTATCCCTGATTATCTTTCCAAGAAAGTCTTGCGTCAATGTTGACCCCAGATACGTTGTCGAGGAAACTAAAAACAAGCGCTTCTTTTGTCGCCGTTATTTCTAGTGCTACTCTCACTGCTTCTCACGAGAATTAAAAATGAGGGAAGCCATTAAAAGATAGCTTTCATTTTATTTGCTCTGGTAGCGCATATGAGCGTGCGCAAGGCTAAATTTGCCATGTTATCAGGGATACCTGGCTGTTAACTGAGCAGTTCAAATCAGCTGATTGTCTCAGCGATACTGAGTGTTGGCCGATTGGCGAATTCCAGGTTCCTATTGAATTTGCGAAAAAATCGGCTTCAGTCCACTCTTTTTTATAAGAACAATTTTAGAATAAAAAGAGCCTCAATATTTTTCAAAAGTTAAAAACAAATTAAGAATAAGCTGAGGCTCAGCTACTGTAAAGTGCAAATTTGAACAATGCTTGATCTCAAAAGCGAGTTTTTTTGCAATCTAGGGATGACGGTATCCACATTGGAACAAAGATGCTGCTTACAAAGTAAATTGGCGAACCTTCAAATTTGTCGCAAAATTAAGGAATTGCACGTCTTACACCCTTCTAATTGAAGTAAAAATTTATAATAATCCAACCTCAAATTCGGAAAAAAATTAAGAATACTTAATTTGGTGGATACCCAATACGGGAATAAACTTCTATGCTCCATTAATCAAACTTCATAGAAAGACTTCACTTAGGCTGCGTTTACACGATACCGGATTACTCACGTATCGGATTACTTTTCATATCGGATAGGGGTCCCGTTTACACGGCCCTGCATTAATCCGATACGTCCCGTGCCACTTTTGCGCACTCCGCTGTGAAAGTGGTATGAAAAGTGATCCGATACGTCCCGTACCACATTCCATCTCGTGTAAACGGGTGAATACGATACGCTTTCACTAGGGAACCTCGTTATGAATCTCAAGGAAAGTTCTCATCAACGGATTCTACATCTTTACCCTTCGGGTAACGTTTGCCAAATACTATTTTATCTTGTCATCATTCGACATTACATCTTTTCAATCCCTTCCCTCGAAAAGGCATTCACTGGCATATGCCTTTACCGATTCAGGCTTCAATTCCACTTCTGCCTCCCCCTCCTGCTTACATTTTCTTCTTCTTGTGCCAGTGGCCAGCACTCATATTCTATACTAAAGTGATTATTTTTTCGCAAGACCTTTCTCTCCTCAGCAGACTAACGAAATCACCAGAATTTTACATTGCTAAAAATCGAAACAAAAGAAGTATGCTGCACAGTGAATAGCGGAGCGTTGTCTTGTAAACAGGATGAAAACGGTATGAATATCAATCCGGTATCGTGTAAACGCAGTCTAAACGGTATGCTTTTCATATCGGATAGCTGAGACCAATCCGATATGAATATCAGTCCGGTATCGTGTAAACGCAGTCTAAACGGTATGCTTTTCATATCGGATAGCTGAGACCAATCCGATATGAATATCAATCCGGCATCGTGTAAACGCTGTCTAAACGGTATGCTTTTCATATCGGATAGCTGAGACCAAACCGATATGAAAAGCAATCCGGTATCGTGTAAACGCAGCCTTAAAGGCATTTGACACAAGTAAAAGTGGCTTACAGCCACTCGACC